ATTGTCTCCTATTCTGTAGAGTGTCTTCTTACTATCTTTTGACTCTGTTAATTATTTCCTTTGCTATACAGAAACATTTTCATTTAATTAAGTCTCATTTATTTTTATTGTTGTATTTGCTTTGGGCTCTTAGTCATGAGTTGTTTGCCTAGGCCAGTGTCTAAAAGAGGTTTACCTATAGTTTCTTCCAGAATTTTTATCGTTTCAGGTCTTACCTTTAGGTCTTTAATCCATCTTGAGTTCACTTTTGTATATGGCAAAGGCTTGGATCCTGTTTCATTCTTCTGCATGTGGCTGTCCAGCTTTCCTAGTACCATTATAGACTAGGGTTTCCTTTCCCCAGGATATGTGTTTGCTTTCTCAAAAATCAGCTGTCATAACTATATGGTTTTGTATCTGGGTTATGTTTTCTTTTCCATTGGTCTATATCTCTACCTTTATATCTGTACCATGCTGTTTTGGTTTCTATAGCCTTTTACTATAACTTTAAGTCAGGTAATGTGATATCTCCAGCTTTGTTCTTTTTGTTTAAAATTGGTTTGGCTAATCGGGCTCTTTTTTGGTTCCATATGAAGTTTAGAATTTTTTTTCTAGATCTTTGAAAACGTTGATATTCTAGTGGAAATTCTGTTGAATTTGTAAATCACTTTGAGCAGTATGGATGTTTTAACAATGTTGATTCTTCCAGTCCATGAGCGTGGGGTGTTTTTCCTTTTGTTTGTGTCATCTGTGATTCCTTTCATCAGTGTTTTGTGGTTCTCCTTATAGAAATCTTGGTTATGGATATTCCTAGGTATTTTATGTTCTTTCTAGTTATTGTAAATGGTTTTACATCCTTGATTTGACTCTGAGCTTGCCAGTTATTACTACATAGAATTGCTGCTGATTTATGTACATCTTTTATAACCTAAGACTTTGCTAAATTTATTGATCAATTCCAGAAGTCCTTTGGTGGCGTCTTTAGGGTTTTCTAGATACAAGATCATATCATCAGCAAACAAGAATAACATGACTTCTTCTTCCCCAAGTTGGATGACCCTTATTCTTTCTCTTGCTTGGTTGCTCTGGGCAGGACTTCCAGTATTATGTTGAATACAGGTAATGACCACAGAAACCTTGTCTTGTTCCAGTTCTTAGGGAGAACACTTTCAACTTTCCTCATTAATCTATTTCTTTATAATTCAGTTTTAGTGGGTTTCAAGGAAATGTATCCATTTCTTCTACATTATTCAGTTTGTTGTTGTATAATTCATAGCAGTCGCTCATGATCCTTTGTATTTCTCTGATAATCAGTTGTAACATCTCTTCTTTCATTTATCATTTTAATTGCATCGTCTCTTTTTTTCTAGGTTAGCCTAGCTGAAAGCTTGTCAATTTTGCCTTTTCAAAAACGTCTAGGTTTCATTGATCTTTTCTATTATTTTTCTAGTCTTTGTTTCATTATTTCCTTACTTCTTCTAACTTTAGGCTCAACTTGTTTGAATTCTTTGCAGACTCTAGATCAGAAGTCCTTTGGTGGGGTCTTTAGGGTTTTTTAGATACAAAATCACTGCTGTAGATATTACCCCTTTGTCAGATGTATGGTTTGCAAATACAATGGAACCTCCATAGTTGCCTGCCTCCTTAAGTTGACCTAATTTTCATACATCAGACATGCACAGCATGTACATACCTTCAAGTGTAAAGTTCAGTTATGTTTAGAAATATGTCTTTTTCTTTACGTAGATGTTTAGCACTATAATCCCCTTGGCACTGCTTTTGCTGCACCTTGTAGATTTTGTTATGTGTGTTTCCATTTTCATTTGTCTCCAAGTTTGTTTTTATTTCGCTTTTGGTTTCTTTTCTGACACTTTTGATTTGCTTTCCACATATTTGCAAATTTTCCAGTTTTCCTCCTGTTACTGATTTCTAGGTTTATACCATTGCAGTCAAAATAGATGCTTGAGGGTGGCGCCTGTGGCTCCATGGGTAGGGCGCCAGCCCCATATACCGAGGGTGGTGGGTTCAAACCTGACCTGGCCAAACTGCAACAAAAAAAATAGCCGGGCATTGTGGCAAGCGCCTGTAGTAGTCCCAGCAACTGGGGAGGCTAAGGCCCTACCAGAATCGCCTAAGCCCAGGAGTTGGAGGTTGCTGTGAGCTGTGATGCCGCAGCACTCTACCAAGGGCAATAAAGTGAGACTCTTATCTCTAAAAAAAAAAAGAGAGAGAGAGAGAGATGTTTGATACGCTCTCACTTTCCTTAAATTTGTTTGGATTTGTTTTGACCCAATAAGTAATCTATAGATATTCTGTGTGCGCCTGAGAAGATTATGTACAATTCCTGTTGGGTGGAATGTTCTGTCTGGGCTTGTTAGATCCATTTGGTCTAAAGTGCAGTTCCCGTTCAGTGTCTCCTTACTGATTTCTGTCCAGATGATCTACTCATTGTTGACAGTGAGTTCTCGAAGTCCCCCACTGCTTTGCTGTAGTCTGTCTCTCCCTTCAAATCCGTTAATATTTGTTTATGTTTACATCCTCCCATTAGGAATGTGTATGTATTTATGATGGTTTATATCCTCTCAGTGAATTGGCTCTTTTATTTTTACATATTTAGTTTCTAATGTGACAGTTTTTGTCTTAAGAGCTACTTTTTCTAATATAACCCATATCTCCTTCACCCAGATTCCCCAGTTGTTAACATTGTCCTGCATTTGTCCATTATTTCTCGCGATATAAAATTTTCTATTTATGGGTGGTGCCCATAGCTCAGTTGGCAGGGCACCGGCCATATACACTGAGGGTGGCGGGTTTGAATTCGGCCCCGGCCAGCTAAAACAACAATGACAACTGCAACAACAACAACAAAAATAGTCTGGCGTTGTGGCTGGTATCTATTGTCCCAGCTACTTGGGAGGCTGAGGCAAGAGAATCACTTAAGTCCAAGAGTTTGAGTTTCCTGTGAGCTGTGACACCAGGGTATTCTAACCAAGGTGACAGCTTGAGACTCTGTCTAAAAAAAAAAAAATATTTTTTCTATTTATGTTTTTTTCTGACATAAGCCTCATTATCCTTAAATGTGCCAGAGCATACTTCTCCAAACAAGGACACTCTTTTATATTACTCCTATGTAGCCCTCCAGTCAGGAAATCAGCATTTTTTTTTTTTTTTGAGACAGAGCCTCAAGCTACCCCTGGGTAGAGTGCTGTGGCTCACAGCTCACAGCAACCTCCAACTCCTGGGGGCTCAAGCAAGTCTCCTGCTTCAGCCTCCCAGGTAGCTGGGACCACAGGCGCCTGCCACAACGCCTGGTTATTTTTTGGTTGCAGCTGTCATTGTTGTTTTGGCAGGCCAGGCTGGATTCGAACCCGCCACCTTAGGTGTATGTGGCTGGCGCCTTAGCCACTTGAGCCACAGGTACAGAGCCAGGAAATCAGCACTGATACAACACTATGGTGCAGTCCTCATTCAGATTTTACCAAGCATTGCAGCTACACCTCTTTCTTCCTGATCCAGGAAACTCTGCATGCATTGAATTTGGGTATCATGTCTCCTCAACAGTCCAGAATGGTTTCTTAGTATTTCTTTTTCTCTCATATACTTAACAGTCTTAACGGTCGTGAGGACTGAAGGGGGAAAGAGAGATGATAATGAAGTAGTGACATGCAGGGCCCCTGAGGTGCTGGCCGCATTTTTTTTTTTTAATTCGTGTTTCAATTACACTGGAGTTCACTTCATAATAATTTGTTAAAATCCACATTTATGTTTTTTGTACTTTTTTCTATGTGTTATTTCACAATAAAAAAGGTTTAAGAAATGAAACCTAAGAATTTATTTGAATAAATACAACTTAAGATATCCTTAGGCAATTTCTTTTTCCCATTTCAATTTAAATACAATGAAGGAATATTAAAGGAGGCGAATAACATTAGAAAGCTCTTCTTTTAACCTAAATGCTCATAACCATGTCTTTTTATAAGGTTTATCACCATGGTGCCCAGATAAAGTTATAAAGATTCAATTTTAGCAAAAAATATAGATTTCAAAACTAATTTTCATTTTTCCTTTCCTGTGTTCTCAGCTGTAGCTTAAAATTCTTTTTGGTTTGTCGTATAATACTGCTGTGGGACAGTATCCAAATGACTTGCCTCTGTTAGATTTCCAGAATGATGTCACCATCCTTAAGAACAGGAATGTGTCAATATATTAATAACAGCACCGTGTACATTGGCTACATAGCTCTTATCATTAGTAGAAGGAATGCTTTGAAGATTTCCCCTGGATTCTGACTGGTTTATGGGGAAAAAACTGTGGAACTACTGAATTGCTTTGCATTCCCCTCGAAGTGAATGCAACAGTAGTCATGTCCCTAGAAATGAAAAAGCGCCGTTTAAATAACATTCAGATTCTGAACATATACGAACATTCCTAATATATTTGCATATAATTTTATTAACCCTTCAGAAAAGGATCTAACTTTATTCTGTTTGTCATTTTTAATGTCATCTCTGCATATCTGTATTTCATATGAAACTCCTCAAAGAGATAGCAGGGCGACCACACACAGCTGAGTGCCGGCCCGTCAGTGACTTCTGTGTCTCTTCACGTTTCCTTCTCATCCCGCTTTTCACTCTGACCGGGCTGCTGAACAGCCCCAGGTTACAGCTGTTACAGAACAGATTCCTTAATCAGCAACATAGTCTTCGGTTCCTTTCTCTAAAATTGGACCCGTTTCCATTGCCACCAGCCCGAATTTTCTAAGTCCACTTAACATTCCTGGCATTCAGATAGAGCAGTTATGTGATTACACAGCAACTGAGCGATTTGTTTCTGTGGCTAAGCCTGCCGATGCTGATGAAGGAGTTAAGTAGGAAAGTGCAATTACACCATTGCGAATTAAGTTTTTCATCTGTGTACATTTGGGTTAGAGATAAATGAGAATTTTTCAGGCTTATTGAAAAGTCTTATTGCTTTCTTATGTTTCAGTTTCAACTGTATAATTCTCTTTTATTTTAATGCAGATACAGCCTGACTATTTGGACTGGGAAAAATGATCACTATTCCACTGAAGACTTACTTTATATTAGAGACCATTTCGACAAAAAACAAGTTTTCTATGACATCTTGGAACCACAAAACCATGAATTTAAACAAGCTGTTGGAATCAAAGTTAACCTGTAAGAAGAGTCTTCTAAGTATGGTTTCATGACCCTTCTCTGCATTGGTCTGAATTAATTATCCTGTAAATTATGATTATAGGCTTACGCTCCAATTCACCCAATCAAGAAACATTGATTGTATACTGACTCAGCATATGTTCTTACAATAGTGCATCTATGTAAAAGGTTTGGAAAGGAGATTTCAGTGGCCTAGTATAACAATAATTTAGGAAAATGATACTCTGAATCCCTTTATAATGAGTAACTTTGATACAACTGAAGATGAATAAGAGAATCCACATGTGTCATAAAACAGGTATAAATCACATTGTATTGTCACTTGCATTACAGAAAGTATGAAAAATAAGGCACTCTCTTTTCCTTTTTCTTAAAAACTGATTATTTAGAGATAAAAATAGGAGGGCTTTAAAAATGTTTTTAACTTTCATGGGGGTGAGCATCTGTCTCATACCATATCTATAGATTAGATGGATCTAGAATTTCCTTTTTGTTGGGAAACATAGGAGCAGCTAAGTATATTTTTTGTTTCTATAGTATCTTATCCATAGTGAAAAGTAGACTGTTGGAGAGCGTTTCAAGCCTTGTATCATTTGCTTCCCAAATTTCTCACTGCCACCACCTTCGTTTAGGTCCTTGTTGTACTATTAGAATCTCATGAACTACATCTGACTGCATTCCTCACTCTGCTCAAAGATGCCCTAAGTTTTTCTGCAAAACAAAAGTTTCTTAGGCTGGGTGCAGTGGTGCACGCCTATAATCCTAGCACTCTAGGAGGCCAAGGCGGGTGGATTGCCCTGAGCTCACAGGTTCAAGACCATATGGAGCAAGAGCAAGACCCCCGTCTCTAAAAATAGCCGGGCGTTGTGGCAGACACCTATAGTCCCAGATACTTGGGAGGCTGAGAAAAGAGAATGGCTTAAGCCCGAGAGTTGGAGGTTGCTGTGAGCTATGACACCACGGCACTCTACCAAGGATGACAAAATGAAACTCTTTCAACAACAACAAAAAAAAACTTTATTAAATACCTCTTTTTTCATGTCAAATAAAAAATCTTCAAGGGCTTAAATTCAATTTTACTCCCTTTTCCTCTTTCAGGACCCTTCATAATGTCGTCCCACCCTAACAGTAGATTTGATGTACTCCAACGCAGCCCTTCATTTCAAAAGTTCCTTCAACATCAGTTGTCTCTAGATCCTATGTGAACAGTCAATTTTGACTGTTTGATTACTGTGTCATGTGCATCTCCTCAACTCTATTGTAAATCCCTTCATAGTAAGGGTGCATACTTAAATATCCTTTACAGTGCCTAGCATAGTCCTGAGCAAAGCATTCAGAAAAAAAATGTAGTTCTTTGATTTATTAAAAAGAAATTTACCAGTGAATGTCCTAAAGTATGTAATTTTATCTTTTATTAATACATCATTTTTCTCCCAGAGAATAAAGCAGTTCTATTTAGAGAAAAAAGCTTGGACTTTGAATTCAGACAAACTTCCCTTACAGCTCCATGCCGATTCCTTACTAGCAGTAGACTTTAGGAAATCCATAATGTCATTAACTATAGGCTTGCTCATCTGTAAAATGGGGAAAAAATGAGAATTCTCTCACAGGGTTATTTTTGTTTGTTTGTTTTTTTGAGACAGAGTCTCACTATGTCACCCTGGGTAGAGTGCTGTGGCATCACAGCTCACAGCAACCTCAAACTCTCAAGCTTAAGCGATTCTCTTGCCTCAGCCTCCCAAGTAGCTGGGACTACAGGCACCCACAACAATACCTGGCTATTGTTTTTTTGTAGTTGTCATTATTGTTTGGCAGGCCTGGACTGGGTTCAAACCCACAAGCCCTGGTTCATGTGGCCGGCGCCCTAGCCCCTGAGTTACAGGCATTGAGCCTCTCAGTTAACCTCTTAACAGACTAGGTTACTTTCTCTTCTTTTAGACTTATCATGTGATCATGTCCATTATAGATAGATAATACTAAGAAAAACTAAGATAGCACTAATTATGAAATACTGTAGTCATATAGATGCTTAAAGACAACAGTTACAGTATTTCTACTTTAAATTTCAGCTCCAGGCTCGGCGCCTGTGGCTCAAGTGGCTAAGGCACCAACCATGTACACCCAAGGTGCCGGGTTTGAATCCAGCCCAGACCTGCCAAACAACAGTGATGGCTTTAACCAAAAAATAGCCAGGCATTGTGGCAGGTGCCTGTGGTCCCAGCTACTTGGGGAGGCTGAGGCAGGAGACTTGCTTGAGCCCAGGAGTTGGAGGTTGCTGTGAGCTATAATGTCACAGCACTCTACCCAGGGGGATAGCTTGAGGCTCTGTCTCAAAAAATAAATAAATAAAATAAAAATAAATTTCAGCTCCAGTTGAACAGAGTGATATTTGTAAATGATACTACAACTTCACGTTCTATGGTTTGCCAAAGGTGCAATTTTATTATAAAATTTCAACAATTGCAATAGAGAATAATCTTTTAATTATAAAAAATATTTACAAATGTTTTATGATGACCATGCATTACTAAAGACGTCTGAATTTATAAATTAACTACCATTGGTTGAAGTTTGAAATAAAATTCATTTGTCCAGAATATTATTTTTACTACTTATCTT